GAATAAGTTCCCGCTAAATTTAGCGGGTAAACTTTTCTGCTATATTTAGCGGGGAAAATTTTCCGCTAGATTTAGCGGGATAATTTTTCCGTCAAATTTAGCGGGGAAGTTTTTCCGCTAGATTTAGCGGGCAGAATGTTTCGCTAAATTTAGCGGGGAGATTTTCCCGCTAGATTTAGCGGGGAAAGTTGTCTGCTAGATTTATTGGGGAAGTTTTTCCGCTTAGTTTAGCGGGCAAAAATTTCCGCTAAATTTAACGGAAAATTTTAGCGGGAAAAGTTTTCTACTAAATTTAGCGGGAAATTTTTCCGCTAAATTTAGCAGGCAAAACTTTCCGCTAAATTTAGCGGGGAAAAGTTTCCGCTGGATTTAGCGGGGAAAATGTTTTGATAGATTTAGCGGGGAAACTTTTCCGCTAAAGTTAGCGGGGAATTTTTTCCGCTAAATTTAGCGGGCAAAATTTTCTGCTAAATTTAGCGGGTGGAAATTTTCCGCTTGATTTAGCGGGGAAGTTTTCCGCTAGATTTGGCGGGAAAAATTTTGTGCTAAATTTAGCGGGGAAATTTACCCATCATGCACCGCGCGGTTACGCCGACGCCGACTGCGACGGCGACGCCGCTCAAGCCGGAAACGGGCGCCAAAGAGCTGCGCTCTAAAATCAATAGGGAGTTTTCGTAGACCGCGCTGCCCCCTCCGCTAAGCGTTCCGCAACGAAGAAGTTGCTACTGCGCCTGCGCGCCGATAGCCTTGACTGTGCAGTTCCCGCTATCGTAGCGGGTTGCGGAGGGCCTTGCGGGACGGCGAAAACGATCTACGAAAACTCCCTATTGACAGGGTCCCGACCACGACCGGCTTTATTGGGGCGACACTCCGCGTTTCTCTATGGGAGCGCGCGGGCCAAGAAATATCACGTGAACGGCTTCGATGGACCGAGTGTTCTGCTGGGCGCCGCCCTAGCTCAACACCAAAAGCGCGGCGGCCGCTATGGAAGGCAATGGGAACGTGTGGAAACAACGTTGGTTTCAGATGATTTCTGTCGCATTTAATGGGCAGACGCTAATGACTGCACATAGTGTGAATAGAATAAGTTAAAATGAGTCACTATATTAGAGTTTTCTCGAGAAGAATAGTTAATATTGTGAGCTGAGCATCAGTAGGGTGTACAAGGAGGGTGCATCCAGTCCGCCTGCTGGAGCCCACTCCGTGATAGGAATAAAACATTGAGTTAGGTGCTCCGCAGTTGGGCCGTGACGCTCTTGGTGAATGTTCGAAGTGAGACACTGTTGATTGGTAATGATCTGGCGACTGGCGGGAAGGGGGGGGGGGGGGGTATCTTTAAAGTAGCACTGCACGGGGTGCGAAGGAGTTCTAGTGACTAAGCGTACGGGTTAAAAGGGGCTACAGTCCACCAGTACGAGTGCGCCGCAGGGAGGAGGCAAAAGGAAGCGAGGAGTCCGGTAGAAAAAAAGTGGCAAGGAGCCGCGTAGTCGCTACTTGACGTCGATATTGAAGGGGGTCCCTGCCGACTGACCGGAGGAGGTGCAGCGCTCGATAGGATGGTGTTCGGAGGCCAAGTTGACGCCTCATAATATGGGAGGAAGCGCGACGTTGCGCCGACTCGAGGGAGGCAACAAATTGCCTGGTTGCCAAATCCCACACCGAGCAGCAAAACTCTAGGATGGGCAACACCAGTGCTGTGAACAGCAATCTGGGCACATCGGGACTGGCTCTTCTTGTGGACCGAATGACGAAGCCAAGGAGTCACCTTTCCCCGGACACGGCGTTTTGGACATAGCGATGGAAATCGAAATGCTGGTCGATCATGACATCGATTTACGATAAGGAAAGAGGGACATTGAAGACAAACAGACAAGACAGGCTTTCGACTGTTGAAAGTCGAAAGCCTGTCTTGTGTGTTTGTCTTCAATGTCCCTCTTTCCTAATCGTAAAGCAATAACCAACACGCTCAACTATCGACATGACATCGAGGAGGTGGATATGCGTTGTTCTTGGGATCTGCACTCGGTTCAGGAAAAGTGTTGGAGGGGTCGAACGTTGTCGCGAGGCAGTGCTATGCATAGTAGCGCATTTGGTTTAGTTTAGGGGAAGTTTGTTTTCGTTTGACCAGAGAAGAATGCGATCTAGATCAGCTTGTAGCTCTTTACCGAACGTATGCAATCGCAATAATGATGAGAAAAGTCCTTAAAATACAGGCGATTATCTTCAAAACGTCGCCGGTCGTGGAGCGGACACACACAGATACACACGCCAAAGCGTCTGCTAGTGTGGTGAGCTACAGAGCCAAAAAACGCGCTTGCGGTTCAGCGAACTAGAAAAAGTACTAAACAAGCAAAAGCAAATGCGGCGCGCTCGCGCTGACTCGGGTGACCTGGTCGCCTCTAATAAAGCCGGTCGTGGTCTCGACGTTAGCTTCCTTTCGTCGGATTTACACTTTGAGAGCGGCTTATGCTTCCGCGGGACGTTGGTCAGCATACGATACGATAATTACAGGTGCGCTTTAATTGATTTGTGCAAGTCAGTGGCGGATCCAAGGGAGGGAGGGGGCGAGCCTTCCCAAAGCACATTAGCCCCCCCCCCCCCCCCCCCCTTCGCTCCCTTTTCCTTCGGCGCTGCTGTGCGGATTGCCCAAACCAAAATCTGGCGCGAACCTCCGATGAATTCGAAACGCTTGCATCCGAGCGCGAGAAATTCTACCTTTCAAACTTTGAAATTTGAACACTCCACAGTCGAATCTCTTTGGTGTCGTTTCCTGCGACTTGCCAGTTAAGAGGCAGGAGCCTCAAACGCCAAAGCGCACCTCCGTCCTTGTCAAAACACGGAGAAACAAAAAAACCTGTGCATTTTTTTTTATTTGGTATTTTTTTCTGGTATTTTAAAAGAAAAGTACAGCTTTCAACTTAAAAGTACATTCTCCAAATTTGGTCTTGTTAAATTTGTATCACAAAATTATGCTTTGTCACCTCAAACGAAATACTGAAAGGGGTATTTTACTCTCACCATAAACGCGAGCAGACGACGCATCGCTCCGTTTTTACTGCGGGCGGCTTTCCCACAGTATTTCGAACTAAGCGAGAGTAAAATAACTACGTTGGGCTCACTTGACTTTATACAATAGTCGCCACCAACTGATGCACTCCCGAGTTCGCATGGGGTGATGCATAACAGTTAAAAAAAAGAAAAACACTCTGTATAGGGGAATAAAAGGGCATCATGAAAGATTTTGTTAAAAATACTTGTACTTTACTTTTAAAGTATGTTGTATTTATAAATACCGAATGCTCCATGATTTCGCGTTTTAGTCTGTGAGCATCTGCTTGTGTTTTTTTGTCTTTGCTTCTACTCTGACTATATGGTGAAACGAAGCGTTGCTCCATACCCTGCCCTCCCCTTGCCGCTTTTATTTCGATTCTTTTGATATTAGCAGAGTGGCGCCTTATCTCTCCATTTCGACTTCCCATGTCATATGAGAATGCGACAACGAGGTAGAGGGGCTTAGAGAGAAAAACTGGCAGCTGAAAGTGACCCCCACCCGGCCGCCGCCATGTTGTACGTTTTTGACCACTAGACACGTGACCTTATAGTTTTACGCCTAGAAATTAACAAAGTACCGCGCACGGGCAATTGCTTATTGACCTTTAATAACCGTACCGACAAGATAAGTTATGTTTCGTTTGTTTTAAGTCCAAAGTATGCTTTTACGACAAAAACTCGGGCAGCTTCGTAATGGCTCCGCTAGATGCCGTCAGCCGGGGTGTTGTATTTTGGTTTTTATCGGAACTAGACACTGATCTGTGGGGCTAACAATATTTAAAAAAAAATATTTTATCCTGTTTTTTATAGCCATCGCAATACAAATCTCGGTTCAGTCTTGTCTAAAAACTTCAGGATTTGGTACCGTTACGTGTCTAGTGGTCAAAATTGTACAAAATGGCGGCAGCCAGAGGGTGTCACTTTTGCCTGGTGAACGGGATATCAGTTTATCGCTGCGAGCCCCTCTACGTTGTTGGGGCGCGAGAAGTCCATATGACAGGGAGGTTACAGACCTTGGACTATGTTTTGCCTCCCTAACCATGTTTAAGCGCGGACAATTCCAACTCCGACTTTTTTTTTTAATGTTATGATTGGTGAACATTTTATCCCTTTGATTCCTCCATGTAAGAAAATCGTGCAGGTGTATATGGTTGGGAACATTTTCAGCTTATGTCGTAAAATGAAGCAAACGTGACAAATGACGCGGAAGCGATACATTCGGGTGGTACAGGACATATAAAATGTTGTGTCCTTCAGAGGTTATATCCATACTTAGACTGTGGAACTCCGCAGTTCCCAAGTTTTTTTTTCTACATTTTTATTTTTGACTTTGTTGAAATTGCTGATTTATTGCTAGGGTGACGTCGCTACTTTGCCAAGTTCTTTTTAAAGCAGCCATCGAATATTTTTCTGGCTGGCAATCCCAGATCAGGTAGCGGCGATAGATTTCATGAAAATAAACAAAACCGCTTATTTTCCGGCTTTTTCGCTCCAATAAAGCATATTTCCATGGATTGGGTAAATAGGAAGCAGCCGCCTCAACAAAAAACGCCCTTTCGTTGCTGAATATAGGCGGCCCTAACTAACCCACCCGGAAACAGGGGAAACCCCTCAAACCATATCCTCCGTCCCAGCAATGGGAGACGCTGGAAAGCAATACCGCGGCAGCATGCACGCAGCAAGCTGGCAGGACTGAGACCTACAGAGAAAGGCAACAAACAGCTCACAGCAGCGCCCATGCGTCAGCCCACGGCACCCCAACAGCAAGAGCCCCGCAGGTCCCAAGAAACGCTCTCAACCGCGAGGCTTCTGGCAAGCATCCAGAGAGCCCTCCCCGCTGGCAAGCCTGTCGCGAAGAGCCAGGGCTCCCACCCTAGGGGAGGGCACGGAGGCGGTGCTTTCGTAGGGGGGCACCCCGAAAAGCTCCCGGGACCCATTGGAGGGTGTCCCGCCCGAGGACGGGCCTTCATCGCCGGAGGGCCGGACCAGGAGGAGGCCGTGGCCTCCCGGAGGGCCCTGTCGACACCTCGGCGAGAAGGCGCCAGACAATGGAACTTGTCGACACGGAACGGTCACCTCACACGTTCAGCATCGCGGCCCTTATGGCAAGCCAGCCTGGAGAGGCTTACCTGCACGGAGCCGTGGCCAGGGCAGCACCGGCGCCATACCAGGGGGACGTGGCTGCTGCGTCCAGGGACTGCTGTCTCGCCGACTGGGGTGCTGGGCCCAGCTACGCGGCCGCCGTGGCTCCTTCAGCGAGTACGCCGGTGAAAGATATGGAAGGTGAGGTTGGGGTTCTCTTTGCTCGCTCCCCTCGCGCCGGTCTCCCCATCTCGGGTCTCCCGTGTCTGTCGTCGGCGGATGAGTGTCTCTGTCGTTGTTCGCTGAGTACTGTCTGTGTGTCGTCTATGCGTGTATCGCGGTGGCGTGGGAGGGTGGCGGTGAAACGCGAAGTTGTTACGCGTCTTGTGGGTGTTGTTGAAGAAGTAGCCCCGGTGTCGTAAGGGGGAGAGGGAAGCTTGGCGTAAGCGTTTGCGACGGTACAATGAAACCTCGAAAAATTGCATTATGTAGGATATAGAAGGATTGTTGGGGAAAAAAGGGTAAAGAAGAAAGCTCGCAAATATGTATCAACTTGGCTGAACTGGATCTTGTTCAAAGAAAAGTGGTGTATACGCTGTGTTTGAAGAGTTCTTCGGGAATCTGTATGGTCATTAGAAGTTCTGGAGAGCACGTAATTAAAAGAGGGGGAATTTCTGAAGCTTAATGAACACAAGTGCTACATCATGGTTAGTTTTTACTTGTTTTTCTAAGCCGAATAATCTAGTCACGAGGAAAGACCTCCTTAATTTCGCAGCTAACTGGCGAAAGTTTATGCAGGTAAACAGAAACCGCACGATCAGTAGCGCAGAACTAAAACCAAAAAGTGAAAATGGCAAGGACCAAAATTTTACCTTAATGTCGATTTTAACTTAACTATAGTTTGTTGCAGGTTAAGAATATCAAAACAAGCGCCCCCCTTCTTACCCCCCCCCCTTTTCTCTCTAAAAAAAAAAATAAGCCCTGTGCTCGCAATGATTAGTTTACTCGCCTTCTCTTCAATGTTCGATCTACTAGGGTGGAAAGGGTAGAGGTTGTGAGCTGTGCTTGCCCTGATTTCCTTAACCTACAACATACTACAATCAATTAAAAAGTCTAGCTAGACCGTGTGGTCAATAAAAGAAGACAACCTCGAAAATGCTTTAAAACTAAAACCCCTTAAAATTAACACTTCTGCTATGGCCATGACTCATCGGCCTCGGATGAGGCTGCCCAATAAGAATGACATTCAAACAGACGTGTACGTAGTTTACCTACTCTACTCAAGTTACTGTATAGTTTAACTACTTGTCTGAGTAGTTTAGTAACTTTCAACTACATTTTGATTTCGGTAATTAGTAATTTACTTAAATTTTTTTTCCGAGTAACTTCTACTCAAATTACAAATTACTTTCGAATTTTAGTGATTATTTTGCATATCAAAAAACATTCCTGCACGAGAGAGATAACATGTTGGAAGATCAGCTGATTTTTGGATTAAGGGGCAAGCGTGTGACGTAGGAAGGAAAAGGGGGGGGGGGGCAATTTCAAGGGTCCGTAACTCCCTAAAATTTTTAAAAGCCCCCCCACTGCAACACCCTGCCACCAGGAGCGGAGAGCGGACAGACGCGTCGCAAGAGAGAGCGATTAACTGCGGGGTTAGCGCCGAAGACTGGCATTTCTTTTTGTCCCGATGCTCAAGAAGACTTGACGCACTTGAAAAAAAGGGCTTGTTCCCGGTTTTCCGCAAGGTAGGAACTCTCGCCCACAAACAGGAGGTGTACAGATTGCATCATCACTTAAAGGAGGCAACAAAATGCAGCTTCCGCTCTGAAGCTCATGTGGTGCTCCCGTTTTTCGTGCTAAACTTGAAGAATCGCGTGCTATATTGGCAACGCAAAAGTGACCTCTTTGCATTGCCTTTCCTACCAAAACTGAGACTATGCAGGCCTTCCAAGATTCAAAGATCGTTCGAGAAACCTTAGAAATTCCCCCAATGTTTTTACATAAAAAATAATAATAAACTTGAAGTAAACTCTTTGAGCATCGACTTGTAAGTAGTACTTTACTAAAGTATTTTGCTTATATTTTCAGAGGAAAGTACGATTTCAAAATACATTCCCCAAATTAAAAAAAAAAAAATCGCGTATCGTCATGCGAAAACGCGCTATTGTCTGTCGAGGCGTCATCTGGTGATTTCTTTGGGTGAAATAATGGCGGCTCTAAGACTGATACAAATAAGTGCCCCATAAGTTTCTTGTGTTAAATAGTTCGTCAACGAGAGTAAAGCAACTCCTCTGTGGCGACGTGACTTTATCCAATATTCGCTGTCATTCCCCCCCCCCCCCCCCCCCCCGGGCCAAAAAAACAACAAAAAACTGATGCACCTTCAATACTTTGAAATACTCTGCATAGGGGATAAAACGGCATCATGAAAGTTTGTGTTAAAAAGTGCTTGTACTTTACTTTGAAAGTACATTGTATTTGTATAGTACTTCTCCAAATACATGGCACCCGGTGTACTTACTACTTTACTTGAAGTACATAACGTCTCATTTACTTTGTACTTTCCTTCAAGCACTTTTTAGATGTACTATACGCAACACTTTAAACAAGCAAATGGTATCTGTAAAATCAAGCTCAGGCAGTGCTAAACCTCAAAGTAGAAATGATACATCAGCAGTAGATCATTGACAAAAAACCAAAAAGTACGAAACAATTAAGCACGCAGAAGCAGAAACAGGCATTAAAGCATTTCTGTGAAACACAAGCAGCCATACTTGGCTAGCAGAATTTCGTTAACAGATCCAAACTTGTGTACGTGTACTTGTGTACTTGTGTACTTGTGTGTAAAATTATAAAAATAACTTCAAAAGTTATTCGCTTCGTTTTTTACGGTAGTTAGTCATTTACTCAATTACTTTCTATTTGAGTAATTTTTACTCTACTCAAATTAATTTTGCGGCCAATACTCAGTAACATAACTTAATTACTTTTTCTAGTAACGTGTACATGTCTGCTTTCAACCAAGTAATATTGAGGATTGATAGAAAATGTTGAGCAAACAAAAAACTTAGTGCAGTTTCTTGTACTCAGTGGTTGACAAACACGTAGCGTACTTTTATTAGGGGCTTACTTTTCATGTCAGAAGAATATAAAACCTATCCGCTCAATTGTCAAAGGGGGCGCAAAAGTGTTTTCGAATCAATAACATTATTATATGTGTAATTGCAATCGCATCTGATGTTGCTTTTTGCAGTCGTGAAGTATTCGGGTTATAGTAGTTTAGTGTAGTAATCTATTTACACTTGTAAACTAATCTCTAAGGGACAGAAAAGGAGCAAAAAAGTAGCAACGGCGCCTTTTCCTCCCTTCTAATGACGCGCCCTTAAGCGGACACGAGACGAAAGAAAGAACGCGATGTTTATCTCATTTTCCAGGCAGACTGGAGAAAAGTTCCGCCCTCCCGGCTCATCTTCTTTCAGTTTTGTTTTTTGGTCACGTCGCACGCATTGTTTAATAGACGCCGTTGAGCTGAATCAGCGTTGGCAGCGAATGCCGGTTGTAATCCAGTCTCCTGTCCAAACACGCAGGACAGCTTGGTGGCATTGACGTTTTTACCACTCATTTTCTCAAACGAGCAAACGAAGCCGTTAGAAGCAGCGGAGTTCCGAAGTACTGCCAGCAGTGCTACGTACACTGGGCTACTAAGATGGCCCACTGATCTCTACTAAAAAGGGCTGGATGGCACATTGCTGCTCTCCGAGCCTGGCGCAAGTGAAGCCCCCGGAAGTTCGATGCTTGTCCCGAAATTCGGCCGTGTGCTGGGCTTCCTAGTGCATTCAGTCGACATTTTGGTCCATGCTTTTTTGTGTCTTTGATTTGATACTCTCGTCCTGAATTAAATCCCGAGAATAAAGCATTTTAACGTGCGACATACGCACACTTGATCAACTAGACGCTCGAAATTTTCACATCGAATGGCTTCTATAGGAGACTTCTCGGGTCCGCATGCGCTGCTACACCACAACAAGCAGGCTTTCCTGGGATGACAAGAAAAAACCCAGCGCCATGAACGCTGTTCCAACCAGCACTCGGAAGAGTTAAAAAAGCTGTGAAGTGCTCACTTTCGGTACAGGCCGCTTACTTCCGCTGGCTTTATACCTGTCTGCTAAATGCGCCACGGGGCAGGGAGACGGCCATCTGAAAATGAAAATAACATTGGTTTTATTGTTATTATAAACCTGCTAGAAAGTTCAATTACAGCAGTAAAATTTGTTCATCACAACAAAATATATTCACAGTAAAGGTTTCATATCAGAGGAACCACCAGCATGTTTCATCGAGATTGCTAAATTAATCAAGGTTCCCTCTTTAATTTATACGTGGTAGCTTTAAAAAAAAGGTTTCTAGGTCAGCACCTATGAATAATTATGCGATGCCAAGATAAATAAACTTTCCCAGTTTATTTCGTCTAAATTTAAGGTAATGTTTTCACGAGGGAAATGATAAAGGAGAAACGAAGTCAAGCTTATTACCAAAATATGAGCGTGTTGATTTTATCTCGATGCCGAATCAATCAAGGACGAAAAAGGGTGCCTCTAAGATGTTCAATTATTAACGTTCGGGTGAATGAAAAGAAATGCAAATTCTTTATATCAGCCTTGTCCTTTTTGTCCTCTGTTTGATGTTTAGTCAGTAGCAAGTCCATTGCTTACAATTTGCACATAAACGAGTAGAAAAATTGCACATTTATTATTTACGCTTTAAGAAGATCATGACGTGGTTATTTTTGTCACATCGATCAGCCGTCTTTTCGAGCACGTATGGAGCATGACACTTTCCATACGCTGCAAGGTATAAATTGAAAATGACCGAAATAGTTAGTGGGAGAACATCGTGGTTGTTCCCATTTCGCTAGTGATTTTTTTTATATATGATATTGATGTCTCATATAAATTGCCCAAAGTTTCAGTGATGCTATAATTCTACTCTATTTCCGGGTGCAAGCAATCTATATATACCAAATTAATATAGTGGCATGGTCACTACTTGTACGCTGTCAGCAGCATGCCTTGTACACTTGTTGTAACTAGTGGATATTTTTTGTATAATGTTTCTCGGGAAGTTTAATTCAGGAAAACAATGTGAATTACAATATATCTTGATACTAGGCACCACATTCAAAAAGTAAATAGATTACAAAAATGTTTTTTTTCTTTTTTTGACGTGTAGATTTCCAACTAGTCATCACGCTGATCAAGCCACGGCTGGCTAGGAGCATAAAAGACTAGCCTTATTAAACTCCTATTATATGGGGAATACACCGCATAAGATAAAAACTTTAAAAAAATGTTAACTTTCATATGTGTTGCTTTCGCTGTGTTTTAAACCCTAAGATAAAATTGAGAATTGTTTCGCTTTTCACGTCAGCCTCAGAGGCAGTCAAATCCCGTGTCCCATAAAATAATAAATCTGAGAACTTAAATTGAAAGCATGAGTATGAGCCTGGTTTTAAAAATTGAGTTCTTGTATGACGAACAATACAGCGATTTTAAAAGACGCAATCTTGTACCCTCCTATTTGATGGCACTGAGCCCAGCTTTTAAGCTACAGTGTAGTCATGCAAAAAAGTACTTCACTTTATTTTATTTTTAATTAATGTTATTTTACAGTACACGGATGACAAACAGCATAGTTCTACGTTTCGATTCAACCTCAGTGGTCAAATCTAGTGGCCAATGAAATACTCCATCGAAACATTTCAGTTAAAGGCAGGAGCATAACCCTATATTGTTCCTTTTTTTTTTTTTTTTTGAACAAGAGATTGTGCAAACAGAGCAGTTTTTTTTTACGAAATTCGTTTTCTATTGGTACTGGACGGAACAGTTGAGGCAGGATCTAATAATTAAGGCACGCCCTTTACTATTTTAGATTATAATGCTCTTTCAATAAGAAATACTATATCTCTTTTTGTTTTCCTCCTCCTCGCAGCATGCCTGTTGACAAGCACCAAGAACCGTCCCAGTCTCGCCGAAGCCTATCGAAGTTCCACCGAGTTCTCAGTCTGCAAGGAGGACAGCAACCCAGCCACCAAGTCGGACGACGACAGTTCTTCGGTGCACGACGCCGGGGGCGCGACCGCAGTGAGCGAAGCAGGCCCCGCGCTGCTGGCCAGCCTCGCCGAAGAACCCAAGCCCCTGCACCCGAAGCTCGCCAGCGTCAGCGCAGCTCTCGAGATGAAGGGGCTCTGGGACGAATTCAACAGCCTCGGCACCGAGATGATCGTCACCAAGGCCGGAAGGTGAGTGGGGAAAACAAAGGACAGTGATTGCATGTTTTGCTGATTAACGCAGAAAACTTTAGGCGCGCGGTATGGAGAGAGAGTAGCCGAGTGTTTTCTTTCATTGAAGTTCCGAATTTCAAAGCCGTAAATAAATTGAGCGAGTCTCTTTCATTTTTGCATCAATTGAACTAGAGTGAGAGAAACTAGGTTTTGTTGCGTAAAATATTCTATTTAGTCAATGATTTTAACAAATGTAACGCTTCCGCTCAGTAGGTCAATCAATCAATCAATAAATCAATTTTTTCCTTAGATATAGAAGTGCCAACTTTTTGTTCATTATGGCGCGCCTGTAGTTGATTTCGACTATGTTACTACTATTCTTTTGTTACATTATTGTACTAAAGAATGCTCGGCAATGTTTAAAACAGTCCATCAGGAGCTCTAAGCTGGACACTGGGCGAGAAAGTCGTCAAGATTTCTGAAAGGCGCCATTGGCCAGCCCCAAAGTCAAGCGCGGCTGGACAACCTCAGAAATCTCGCCTACATTCTCGCCGAGTGTCCATCTCATTGCCCCTGGTTTCGCACTAATTAATCGATTTAATCAGATCGTCTAAGTTTACATTAATCGGCACCCGAATTATCTAGAGAAAAAGAAAATGCAGTTTGCCACGAATAGTTTAGTCCAGACTTCAGAGTTAGCAAGGCTCAAATCCTCATTAATTTGATGAGGAATAGACAGATTTCAAAAGTCAGTTTGGCTTCGCAGCCGCTGCCACAATGCATCATGGGAACTTTGGTCTTTCAGCACGGTGCGACAACCTCGCCGCTGCTTTGTGCGTGCGTCTACTGTGCCAACTTGCCTCCTGGTGACTAAATTCATGGCAGCGACACGCTTAATTGCGCCAATCGCGTGTTGAAATCGTTCGATTGAGGTTTCCCCAAGACCGACCTCTGAGACACTTCCAGGGTGTCCGAGAGAATGTGAAAGGAGTGTTACTTGCCGATGAGTGTAGGTTACTATACTCCGTTTCACTTAAAAGATGGCCTTCAATGATTTTTTAAGTGGTTTGAAATTTGCGCTGAAGCGGACATCGTCGAACGTACGCTCTAAGAAATGTCTGCGTGTCTACTTGCCCACAAAGCACTCGAAGAGCCAATAATTGCGATCTAGGAAATCAGCTCAGCGAACAATGAGGCGGAACATCCGTTTAGACTTAGAAATTAAGTCTGCGCTGTGGCATTACGCAATGCAAAGCGTCGTGCTTGCATTGTGTAATGCCACAGCGCAGACTTGATTTTAAGGTCTGAAGATGTTCCGCCTCATCATTCGCTGAGTTGATTTCGTATAACGCAGATATTGGCTCTTCGAGTGTTCGGCGGGTAAGTAGAAGCGCAGGGATTTCTTAGAGTGTAAAAACATGGAACAAAAATGTTTTTTTTTTTTTCGGATACTGAAATTATTTTAGGAGTTATAAGCAAATTAATATTACAAAGAGAAAGCAGAGCATTTTTGCTCCATGTCACAGTCGGAAAAACTCAATGACTGGACGGTTGGAGCGAAGCGGCTGGCCAATTGACTGAGGGTTAGGTTCATGGCTGCCGGCTGCGCCGACGACGTGCACGGATCGTCGCCTCGTCGTCAAAGCCCCTTGCATTAATGTGAGATCAGGCTCCAAACGCGATCGGCCTTACCCATGGACCTGGGCTCTTTATACCTAGAAGTTGGCAAGCCCAACGCGGGTAGGAGCAGAACAATGTTCGTCTTCACTGCTCCGCGTCCCGTCATAATACAGCGCGGTGGGATCAAAGCAACAATTCGGGGCCGGGATAGGTTTGAGAAGAAACAAAAAAAATGGTGGGAATAACAACTGCAAATAAGTATTTATTTTCTATCAAATGTCACACAGAAGTCCGCAAAAAAGAGATCACAATGCCGCGTCCGTCAAAGCATACGCCGGGGCCGGCTTAGACAAATTTGATGCCCTCGGGATTAGCAGCAACCTTCCACCAGACATGTACATGTTACTCCCCAAAAGTAACTAAATACCTTACTCGTTACTTGCTCAAAAAGTAACTGAATACGTTGCCCGTTACCGATTCACAAAAAGAATGCGTTACTTGACCTCAAAAGTAGCGAGTTACATTTCTCGTTACTTTGACGACTGCTTTTGTTTTATGGTTTAGTAGTTATTGCACTTAAGCACTAGCTTCCTCTCCAAGTTTGCTTCAGTTATGTTTTCCCCGCTTGCTTGAGGATACATGTCCGGCGACGCTGAAGAGTCGTTCTACAGACGCGCTCGAAAGAACGGCAGGGTTGTGCTTCAGCAAGAGCTCGTCAATCTGGGATTTTCCTTTCTCCTTTCTTCTCTCTAATTCTAAAGTTTGAAGTTGACAATGGGTTCTGTGCCTTCACGGTGTTGGAAACTTCCGGGTTTACATTCGGTGCGTACATGATTTTAGAAGGTTCAACCAATGAAAGGACATTCCCAGCTGTAGAGTTCGGCTGACGTGTTCAGCGATAAACGTTGCAATACTGTCATACTGTTTAATAGTTGTTTTTTTCAAGTTACCCATCTGCCTTTGTAACAATAGACGCACACTCAGGTTAGAATTAAAACGAGTCTTTTTAAACGTTGTTGAACACGTTACTTTCCAAAAGTAACGAAATACCGTTACTCTTTACTTGGTCTTACAAGTAACTACCGTAAGTACGTTACTCGTTCATTTTCTAAAAAAAGAAACTAAATACGTTACTCGTCACCAAAAAAAGTAGCTAGGTAGAAGGAACTTGTTACTAGTAACGCCTTAAGTACATGTCTGCCTTCCACATTGATTTACATATAACATCGAAGGAAGCGGATGATATCTAAATTTCGCCGTTTACGCGTTCGAAATTGTAGCGCGCTCCGAAGAAACATTCCGGGCTCCAACGGGATTTTCATTGCACACCGCTTCTACATTCGGTATTTGTTGTTTCGAGCGGAAAGGGTTGCCGGCGAGTTACAACTTGCACATGATCATACATGGCTCTCCTGAATTGTAATTAACTCTACCTATGGTTCGTCATCGAGCTTCAAGCTTCGGTTGGCACCATGTGAAAGCGTGTCCGTCTCGTTAGGCATATATGAAGCTTCTCGGGGTAGTTCGTAGAGCCGTCCACGTACAGACTCGCCCAATCGAGCGTACGGACGTTTGTACACGATCCAACACAAATAGAAGGAAGCACCATACTGAGCGGCGAGAACAGTACACCACACACGGCATATTCAGATTACAGAAATAAGCGTATAGCCCAGGGGGACTCCGAGCGTTTTGGCTAAAGGGCAGGATAAGGGATTTGCCGCTGTCTGGAGGGCCGGAAAACAAGAAATTATATATTAGAAAAAATAGATAAGCACTCCTGGATAAGCATTTAAATGCAGAGCTAAAAATTAGAGTCAAAATGTAAAAAAAAAAATGTAAATTGGATGAATACATCTACTTTATATTGATATTTAATAGTTAGCTAATTATGACATTGCAGAATGTTTTGGACCCAAACGCCCACCTGGTATAAATCAAAGCTTATAAGAACTGTGCAATGTCACAATAGGACAGGAGACGGATGAGAATGGTAGAGCTAATGCTGACAATATGCAGCACCGCAGTACTGGAGATACGACACAGGACACTAAGCACATAAACATGGGAACGCAAAGAAGTTTTAACGTGCGTAGTGACACAGATATAAAACAGGGGAATAGGAAGTACGCCGCTGGTGGTGGCAACTTCCGACGAATAATATGGCCAGATGACAGGCCTTACGATAGACAGTGTTATCTTGTTTCTTCCGGTATCTTCGTTCAAACGGTTGGTGCGCATTGCAGTGCCGTTTCTTTACACTGCAACGTTGAGCTGTTTTCGTTTTTTTTTTTTTGCTACCCGATCGGATTAAAATATGACGCGCTAATATTTCCCGGCCACTACTATATACTTGTTAACCGAGTAGTCCGGAACCACTAATGAGTCAATAAGATAAATAGGCGGGAAGCTCAAATGTCACTAAGAAGGGGGGGGGGGGGGGGATCCTTTAAGACTGGCTGCAGCCAACGGTATGCAACCCGATGGAGTCAATCAATAAGCAGCGACGAAAGTACATCGTCACCGCGCTCGTCGTCTTTGTGCGTTTGCCGTCACCGCGGCTAAACCAATCGAGTACACAAACACACACACACAAAAAGCAGAATCACGGCGTATTCACCGTGCGTGATTGGTTTAGCCGTGGTAATATAGCCAACGCACAAGGAAGACGAGCGCCCAGCGCCGTGACGGTGCAGTTATGGCGCAGCTTGATTGGCTCCACTGGGTCTTAGCGTCGGCTGCGGTCCCAGTGCGAAACAAACTGTCTATAAACTAACACACACCGTTTATGAAACAGTCAGCGTTTGCCCACACCGGTTGTAGGTACTTCGGCTGCGCAGAAACCAGATCCGCGTGAGAAGATTCGTCTGCGCATGCGCAGTGCCGACAGCAGCGCCACCGCAGTGCTTTGCCGTCGGAGGGTTGAATTGGGGTGAGAAGAAATGTTTGGTAAAATCAACGCCTCTATATACTACCGTCACTGTCGGCTTAAGAAACGCTGGGTGTGGTTCATGACACTCACGTATATATGCCCCGTGCCTCGTGATTGGTTCTTTGTCGTTCTTTTCGACTAACGCTGCACTCTGATTGGCTAACGAGCGATTATAAGACTTTCGGTGCTCGCCATGTCCCGAGTTCCTTAAGCCACCGGTGACTATGCGGAGAGCAAGTCGTCTGCTTCTTGCGCAGGAGTTGGGGTGACGTCAGAACGATGCCGAGCTCTTATTGGCTGACTGATTGGCCTCGAGGCATCTAGCAATGAGGTTTTCTCACTATCCTTTCAATGAAAGCCCATCAGAGCTCGGCGTCGTTCTGACTTCCGCAGACGCAGACGACTTGTTCTCCGCGTAGTCGACCGCCGATGATAGGCGAATATTTGATAGGCTCGAAGAGGAAAC